AGTTGGAGGGCGGGAGGAGGATGGGAAATCCCAGAGCCTAAAGGATTGTATCATGAAAAATAAAAAATTTTTTTAAAGTCAAGGAAAAATTAAGAAAAAATGCAAAATACACAAATATAAAGATAATTGTACAGTTATAATAAACATGAAGATGATTATAATTTAGCAGTTGATGTCACTGAGTGATGTTATTGTGTGGTTTTTCTGGTTTTAATTTTCCTTGTTTCCATTTTTTTTAATGATGACACATATCTTTCAAAAGAAAGATATTTAGGACTTTGTATTTCCTTAAAATTTGGTGGAAAACTGGTGTGATGGATTTTAGTAAAAAATAATATTTGTTGTTATTTAATAAAAATAATTTAAATAGAGAATCAGCTAGCATGGAAGAATAAGACCCACTTCTGGAGCACCTTGCTTCTCTCCCCACCTCCTTTCCTCTCCCGGCGTCTCCATGGAGACGGCCTCTGTTGCAGGACACGGGAGGAATGCTTTAATACAAACCAGTTGTCTTCATTCCGTGATTGACTTAGAAGCCTAGGAACTGGGAAGAATTGGAGATGTTCATGGAATTTATAGCAAACACAAGCTATACAGTGACAGGATTAAAAATAAAAGACCTTGGAATAAATACTAGTAAACTTCTGAAAATTTTCCTTCCAGAAGAGTTGTGTGTTGCTTAGTCTATATATTTGACTTGGACCCATACTATTTAAGAGAACTGCAGCTTGTGGGTAAAGAGAGAGGTGATATTGTAAGTTAAAAAATAGGACTTAATATAAAGAAAATGAATAGTCTTAGTTACAATTTTGAGGTTAAGCCATAAAATCAGAAATATGTTGTTTTTGTATATTTTAAAAGTGTTTATTCCATGTTGACATTTGGGTGGGATTTGGATGGGATTTGGTTTGTTTCCTGGCACACTTTGGCACAGCACAGTAACTGCATTTTAGCATGTAGAAGAGGGAGCTTGAGATTTGACAAGTTAGCCAGGTCAGTAAAGAAAAAAAAAAGAAAGTAATCTTTTCTTTTTTTAAAGATTTATTTTATTAATTTGAGAGGCAGAATTGGAGAGAGACAGAGACAGAGAGAGATCTTTTTCCACTGGTTCACTTCCCAAGTGGCCACACCAGCTGGGATGGAGCCAGGTTGAAGCCAGTGGCTTCATCCATATCTATGTGGGTGCAGAGACCCAAGGACTTGGGCCGTCTTCTGCTGCTTTCCCAGGCACATTAGCAGGGAGCTGAATCACAAGTGGAACAGCCGGTACTCGAACCAGCACACATGATCAGGGAGACTGATAGAACAGGGGCCCATCATTCTTACATTTAAACCAAAAGAATGCCAGTCAAAATGTGTTGGTAAAACTTTTTGGACCTTCAGTCATTTAAAGTGGTTAATCGGATTTTTACAAAATTTCTTGGTTCTGTTCTTCCAAGGGTTCCTGAAGAGCAAGAAGGGAATTAATGTTTTCAGTTGACCTTGTATAAGATTTTAACTAATCAGAAAAATGGTAACTGAATAATAATCTCCAGTTCCTGTATTACTTGAAAGATACTTTTCAAGGTTGACAAAAGTGCTTTTTAAAGTTAAATGACCTCATTGTGTATCAGAGGTCTGGGTTTAGGCTCAGACAATGGAATGGAGCCTGCTGAGACCCAGCAGGAGGCCGGCTGCCTGTTGTGTCATAGGCACAGGGAGGCCTCCCTCCACCTGTGCTTTATGGAATCCTGGGAGCTGACACATAAAGTGGTCTTCTTTTCGCCCACAGTGCACCCAGGAAAGGAAGTATCGATCACTATCTGGCACTGGGAAATGGCAAATGTGTCACCTGAATCCTTGCCTCTCTGGCAGCCCTTGGTCTCCAACCTCAGATTTCTTCCCCAGTGAGGCCACTCTGCATCAATTAGACTTGACCTACAAGTGGATGCGCAGTTAAAAACTGTAATTTATATTTATGTAAATGAGTTCATTAACTATTTGAAACAGCACATTTTGAGAGTGAAGGAAGAAAGTAAAGGTTTTAGGATGAGGGGAAGACTTAACGTGTTACTACAAAAGATGATTGATGAATTTCACCTGTAAGTTTTTATAGATATAAATACATAGAATGTCTGCGACTAAGAGCAAGGTCCCAGCAATAGCACTTTGTGTTATTATGCTGTTTTCTTCATGGTGGATTTTAAGTGAGGGCTGGGAAAGAACTCTGCACTGTGCATGGAGGAGACTGAGCATGACACTGGAGTGACTTGTTCGTGATGAAAGAGCTAAGAGGCGTAGAACAAGCACATGATCACATATGCAGGATCACACTTTCCAGGCTGTTCTGACATTTTCTAGATTGTTTCCAGAGCTGCAGAGCATTAGACCGAGTTCTGCATCATCAGCATCTTCTTAGGGCAGCCTGCATGTTCAGGCCCAGGCTCGATAGAATCAAAATTCCACATTAGTTTTAGTGGACTAAGAATTGAAATTTTTTTTTATTCAAGCTTCTTTATTTCTAACAGATAAAGAATGATCTAGTTCTTAGTGAATGTTGTAAAAAATAAAAATCAAGAAATTTACAAAGTGTGGGTCACTTGATCTCATTTTCCATATGAGTAATGTTTGACTATTCATGATCACAGTTGAAATTTCCACTTTTATTGCACGTGTTCATCTGACAAAATTAAGTGCATTGAGGGGAGATATTTTGTGATGTATATCCTATGCTAGTTAAGACCCAATATTGATAAGGATGTGGAGATAGTAACTTTTGGCAAACACTAATTTTTCAGTTTTGGGAGCCTTACAGGTATAGTTTATAAAGTCGTTAAGAATTGTACACAACATTTTATATGTAACAGTGATAAAAATGGATCATATATTGGATCGTTTTGTATGTTCCTAGTACCTGTGAGGACATTCTTTTCATTTTTTATTTAAGATTTATTTTTATGAGCCCGGCGCAGTGGCGCAAGTGGTTAAAGGTCCTCGCCTTGCACGCCAGGGATCCCATATGGGCGCCGGTTCTAATCCTGGCAGCCCCGCTTCCCTTCCAGCTCCCTGCCTGTGGCCTGGGAAAGCAGTCGAGGATGGCCCAAAGCTTTGGGACCCTGCACCCGCGTGGGAGACCCGGAAGAGGCTCCTGGCTTCGGATCAGCATAGTATCGGCCCGTTGCGCTCACTTGGGGAGTGAATCATCGGACGGAAGATCTTCCTCTCTGTCTCTCCTCTCTGTATATCCGCCTTTCCAATGAAAAAATAATAAAAATAAATCTTTAAAAAAAAAGATTTATTTTTATTGCAAAGTCAGATTCTTTTCATTTTATTGTCAATTTCAGTTGACCTCATGAAGGGACAGTTTTAACATTCTAATCAAATCAAGAACAGCATGTCTATTTTTACAGTGATTCTTCTGCAGTTTCATAGTATTGAAGAGGATTTCCTGACAATTTACTGAGCACCTATTGTGTTCCAGGATAATGCTTTTATTTTATTTTACTTTAAAAAACTTTTATTTTATTTTAGCAATCCCCACTAAAATACTGAAAAATAAAAAGGACAGCCGTAGTTGGTTAGTGCTGAGCAGGCCTTTGCATCTTCTAATCCGCTCTTCTGCCTTCTGTTCTGCCATGTTGCTGACATGATTGCCATAGCTTAATGCGTGTTCCAATAGTCTCATCAACAATAACAATTCCATACCACTTCAAAGGTATCAGGCCTCCCACTATACTTTAATCCATTTAGTGCATTCTACAACCTCATAAGACAGTTACTTCTTTTTCTAGAATGTACATTTGAGGCACAAAGAGGTTAAGTAAGGTATGACCAGGATCATCAGCCAGTGAGTGGCTGTTGATGGGTTTTGAACCTAGGCAGTATAGCCCTTCCTTGAAGTGTAACCGGAACTCGGCTGTCTGAGCAGGAAGCACTCCGTGAAATCCAGGCAGGAGCTGCCGTGCACCTGAGCAGAGGAAAATGATGTGCAAGCAAAAAATCCGAAAAAACCTCCAGAGTAAATAGAATCGGATGCTAAGTGAGATAGGGACTCTTGAGAAAAAAAAAAAAAAAAACAAGCTGAAAACCGACCCAAGATCACTGACCTTGAAGACTTACGACAAAACGATACCTTTTCCCCAGTCAGTAAAATATTGGGGATTGCAAATGGTTTAGAGGAAACACACTAGGCTGGCTTTGATCCCTAAGCTGAGCAAACGGGTTAACGTGAATGACACAGAGATGGATGAAGTGGTAAAACAGTGTGACCTGATGGACATACGTGTGCTATTGGAATGAGAAGAGAAAGGGGTGCAAACGTTGGCTCCCCTGTGACACCATGCAAGTCACTTCTGTTCTCCGGGCATTAATGTTCTTGTTGTCAATGAGGTTTCTATTATTACCACCATGAGAAAGTTTAGATTTAAAGTGGTATGCCAGGGATCACAGAGCCAAGTGAAGGCAGAACCAAGATTATGTACTTAAATAAACTGTCTGGGAATTTATTATTCTGAACAATGTATGTTTGGGAAGAAAAGGATAATCATATTTTAACTCAGAGCTAGGTTGATCAGATCATATGGTCCAAAACAGGACACCTTTGAGAGTGACATGGGCACTGTTAATAAATACACCCACACAGTGGGTATTCTGATGTGATTGTGAAACTGGCATACAGTCAGAGCGCAATTGGTTATCTTACTCATGACTACACCAGAGGGGCTTCTGAAATACTCCCTGGAGAGACCACAAAGTGTGGCTTCTGATGTTGCGTGAAAATAACTGGGTCTAGAAAGTATATTCAGGAGCTGACTTCCAGCTGGCTACGTCCAAGGACCATTCCCTTTACCCCATCTTCAGCACCTTCCCCATCACCGTCTCCTGCTGGCCCACATGTGGCAGTCAAACAGTTGTCATCTGTCAGTTGTTTAGAAGAGACAGGGATGACCTCATTGAGTTCTTCTACCCCGTGTTGTCTTCACTGTCTGACGTTTGCCTCTTCCTTTTTTGCTGCTGTGCAGTTGCTCCGGTCTGCTGCTGACTGGTCTGCTGGAATCAAGTACCATGAAGAGTCCATCCACGCCGCTTATGTCAATGTGATAGAGAACAGCAAGCACTATATCTATATTGAGGTGAGTTCTCTCCATGGCAGTTCTGAAAGCCTGCTAGCCCACAGGTATTGTGCACAAGCTGCAGAGTTCTGAAAGTCAGCACATGCTGTTGTATGACATGTGTGTTTGGGTGGGACAAATCCTGGAGAGGCAGTGAGTTGGACCTCCCAAAGGCTCTTATTTTAAGAGACCTAGAGAGAGGTGAGTAGGACAGGAGGGATGGAAGAAGGAAGAGACAATGAAAGAGAGCTCCCATCTTGCTCACTCCCTTACACACTCACAGTGATGGGGCCTGGACCAGGCTGTAGCTAAGAAGCAGGTGTCCTGTGTGTGCGGCAGGGACTCAGCTACTTGAGCCAGCGCCACTGTCTAGGAATCTACAGTTGCAGGAAGTTGCAGTCAGGAGCCAGAGGCAATAATCAAACCAAGGACTCTGAGAAGGGACGCTGGCATCTTAACCAACAATTAACTAGCAGGCTGGTTACCTGCCCTTTCTGACACCTGCAGCATACCTGAAATTCACTGTGAATTGTCATTAACTCAAGATTCTAAGGGTGGTAGCCTAGTGGCTAAAATCCTCACTTTGAACATGCTGGGATCCTATATGGGTACCAGTTCTAATCCTGGTGGTCCCGCTTCCCATCCAGCTCCCTGCCTGTGGCCTGGGAAAGCAGTCGAAGATGGCCAAAAGCCAAAGAACCATGCACCCATGTGGGAGACCCAGAGGAGGCTCCTGGCTTCAGATTGGCTCAACTCCAGCTGTTGAGGCCCCTTGGGGAGAGAATTATCAGACAAAAGATCTTCCTCTCTATATCTGACTTTCCAACAACAACAACAATAATAAAAAGATTATAATGGGAGTCTCCCAAGTCCTTACTATTAAATACATCAATTTATTGTAATATTATTAGCCAGATTGCCCCAACGAAGAGGTTTAAGTTTTGATTTGACTCAGATTGTAGGGTTTAAGTGTAAGCACTGAACTGTTTCATAAGAACATATACAGGGCTCAGTTGCTAAGTAGAAACTGTTGGATGAGACTGATTTGGGTATGTTGGACTAGAGGGTGACAAGGAAAAGATTCTGGGAAAGGAACATATGAATATTAAAGGCTGGTACTACCTTCTTAAATCTTTTTGAAATGTTTTCAGATCATAATTTATATTTACAGTTATTGAGAAAATCTGGGGACAGTGAGTTTAATTTGGCAACTTTAATTACACTTCAAAGTGAATGCAAAAATAGAGCACTTTAAAAACCCTGAGAAAGCAAAAAGTCACAAGAATGGAAAAAATGAGTCAGAGCACATGGCCCTTGTTTATTCTATTTTTTACTTTTCTATCTAATAAAAACTAATATGAAGGAAGATGGTTGATTGGAATGAACCTTTCCTGCCCTGTTTTCCTTCCTCTTGAGTTCTGACCTTCTTCCCTTCCATTCAGTGGCAGTTCATTAAAGGGAAGCAAGAAAGGATGTATTTGCTTTGCAGGCCTGGCGAAAGAAGGCTGTTATCAACCTTTGGCCCAGCACGATGACCCAATTGGTAATCCTTCTCCAAGTACAGATCGTGTTCCAGCTGCTCAACTTCCCATCCAGCTCCCTGCTTGAGGCCTGGGAAATTAATAGAGGATGGCCCAAAGCCTTGGGCCCTGTACCCATGCAGGAGACCCAAAGGAAGCTCCTGGCTCCTGGCTTCGGATTGGCTCAGTTCTGGGCACTGTGGCCATTTGGAGAGCCAACCAGTAGATGGAGGATCTTTCTCTCTGTCTCTCCCTTTCTCTGTAAATCTCTCTTTAAAATAAAAATCTGAGAAAAAGAAGCTATCAATCTAAAATGCCAGGTGGTATCCTCAGTGGGATCATACACTATAAAAAGGACTTAGTGCAGAAAGTCTGCACTTGAGTAATGCTGTATGTGTGTACACGTATACATACATATGTATACTAAATTTTGTATTTGAAATACAGATTAACAGAGAGAGAGAGAAGGAGGACTTTGCTGATCCACTCCCCCAAATGGTCAAGTCTGAACCAGACTGAAGCCAGGAGCCAGAACCTCTTACCAAGTCTTCCTCCATGGTGGGAGGAACTCGGATGCTTGAGTTGTCATGTTATGTTCCCCAGAAACACTCGCAGGAAGCTGAATCCGAAGCAGAGTAGCACTGTCTAAAAACCAGCACTCTGATAGACAATGTGTGTCTCCCAAATGGTGGCTTATCCTGAGGCGCCACAGTGTCTGCCCTGTACGAATAGTACTATTGGCTTGGATGATATATAAGAGTAAGATGTCAAGGCTGGCTCATCTGTGACCCACAGTTATTTTCTTCACCTATTTTTGCAGCATTAGTATCAGCCTGCCACTGAATGCTAGCATACCCTCCAGTGCAGTCAGGAATGCCCTTAGGTACACAGCTTGTCGATACAGCCAAGGTCAGTGTTGAGCTTCTATTTTGCTCTTCTGAAAACAGAAGGAAGGGATGTGATGTGTGGCCAGTCTGTGCTTACAGCACTTAAACAGTGCTGGGCTCCTCTGTCATGTGAGTTCAGGAAAAAACAATAGCAAAGCAAAATGCATCGCTTTGGTGCCACTGTGACTTTGTTTGATGCCTGATGGGAAAACTACGTTCTCAGGTGAGTGTGCAGTAAGTAGTCTTGCTATAAGTGTGTCTATGCAGGCAGTTTACAGAGATGTGTGCAATCAGGTGTAAGGACCCAGAGTCGTACAAAGCAGTGGCGCCCAGGGGGGCACCCATGCTGAGCTCATAGCTTATTTATTCCTCTACCTTATTTTTAGTTATTTTTATGAAATAAATGTGCATCATAACAGACTGTGTTCTCTGTGAACATCCAGTATTCTTTCTTAATATTCCTTTATGCAACAGAACCGTCTTCCACACTATTTTTAGAATAATGTTATCTTAATAGTCCAATAATAGCTTTAAAAGATATTTTATGAATATATGGATGACAGGAGAACTTAGACAAAAAATAAAAATTTATTTTTTTCATTTTTTACATAGGCAACATACTTGGACAAAGAGATGTGTGGAGCTCCTTAGAATAAAGTTCAGGGATAATAAGAAACCCAAAGAAACCAGACAGGTTGAAAGCACATGGGGAAAAGGTGAGAAACGTTTGAACAGGCTTCTGTCATCTATGCTGCGAAAAAAGTGGACCAAGCACAAGGTAGCATGTTTGTCAGCAGAGGTTGTTTTAAACCTCTATATAATTTTTATTTATTTGAAAGGCAGAGTAACAGGAAGAGAAGAGGAGAGAAGGGAAGAGAGAGAGAGAGACAGAGAGAGAGAGAGATCTTCCATTTTCAGCTTCACTTTCCTGATTCCTGCAACTTCCAGGCTGACCCAGGCTGAGGCCAGGATTCAGGAACTCCACCACTTTCTCATGGAGATGACAGGGGCTGAGCATGTATTGTACTGGAAACAAAGCCAGATCCTGAATCCAGGCATTACAACATGGCATCCCAAGCAGTGGTCACACTGCCAGCCTCAGATTTTTAAGTCATAAGCATTTAGGTAGTGTCAGAATCTCAGAAATAAACAAACAAAAAAACACACCTGATTTCCCCATTTGACTAAGTTTGGAATGTTTCCAGAATTCCATAAACATATATCAGAAAATCAGCCATGGCCAAATTGCACAGTGTGTCCTTCTGACTCAGATGTGAGGTGTGAGGTGATCCAGAAATGCACTCGGCCCCAGGTCAAATGAACCTTCTTTGGCTTTGGTGTTGTTGACCTTCTGGATAGGATGTCAGTGGTTGGGCCTGGGGTGCTTTCATTTCTTCAGAATGCCTGTGTAATGTTAATTATTCACTGTTTTTCTTGCTCAAGTAGAGAAAGCCTTATGTAGGTGTATGTTGTGTGTTTCTTCTAGAACCAGTTTTTCATAAGCTGTGCTGATGACAAAGTTGTGTTCAACAAGGTGGGCGATGCCATTGCCCAGCGGATCCTGAAAGCACACAGGTAGTGTTCGGGGCATTTTGGTGGGAGTCATTGCTGCAGATGAAAAACCCACTTTTAACTTGCTGCCGTTCTGTCACAGCCTTGCCTTCAGTGTAGCCAGAAGTGTGATTGATTCTTTTCATTCGAAGTTGGTAGCTAAGCATTTCTTGGTCTCTTTTTGAGGGAATCTAGATTCTTCCAGGATACGATCATTTTTTCCTGGCTAGACTCCTTCCCACACATGAGGTTTATGATTTGATGTATTTAATGGCAGACAGTGAGCTCTGCTCATTTGAAAAACAAGGCCAAATAGACATAATATTTTTCCATGGGTTATATTTAAATCCCTGTTGCCAGCTGCCTCACTTCTCTAGCTCGTGGGATTATTTCTTTAATAACAGTTTCTTTGAGGTGGAATTCATGCCATGGAATCCATTGACTTTCAGTATACTCATAGAGGTGTGTAGCCACACCCAACCGATTTTTCAATATTTCTGTCACCCCAGGAAGAAAGGCCATACTTATAACCAGTCATTAACCATTCCTTCCTTCCCTTCACTTCCAGTAACTACTAATCTACTTTCTTTTTTTGTAGGCTTGTTTAGGCTGTGCAATTCATGTCAATTCAATCATGCAATATGTGGTCTTTCATGGTCGACGTCTCTCACTTAGCATAATATGTGAAATGGCATCTTTGTTATGGAATGTTCATTATTTCATGTTTGTTAGCCACGAGACAGTCTGTATCCTATGGGAATAACACATTTTGTTTAATTACTCATCAGTTGCTGGACACTTGGATTGTTTGCACTTTGGAGCTATTATGAGTAATTCTGTTATAAACATCCTGTGCTAGTTTTTCTGCAGACATGTTTTTGTTCCTCTTGGGGTGAAATTGCTGGGTCACAGGATAACTCTATGTTTTACACATTGAGGAACTGCCAAACCGTGTTGCAAAACAGCTACAGCATTTTCTATTCCCACAGTTTGAGAACTAGAGTTTCACTGTCTCATCGCCATTAACCGATTGCTACTTGTGTTTATTATTATTGTTATGGTTGTTGTAGTTATTCTAGTATTGTGAAAGAATAGTTCTTGGTGGTTTCGATTAGAATTTAACTTATGACTGATAATATTGAGTATCTGTGTGCTAATTACTTATTTGTATATTAACTATATGTGAATCATCCATATTTAACTTTTTACTGCTGAATTGTAGGAGTTCTTTATGTGTTTTGGCTGCAAGTCTCGCATCAGATAAGTGGTTTGCAAGGATTTTCTCTTAGTGCGTTATCTTTATATTTCATTGATGGTATCCTTTGAAACATCGAAGTTCTAATTTTGACAAAGGCCAATCTGTTTTTCATCATCTGTGCTTCAATAATGTATATATATCTACAGCTATATCTATATATATAGATATAGATATATAATACATTCACACATATATATAGTTTTCTTGTTCAAGTAGAATTTTATATAATAATTTATATGTATAATTTATATATATGATGTGTATATATATAAAATATTGAAGCAGAGATGATGAAAGAAAAACAGATTGGCCTTTGTCAAAATTCTACTTGAGCAAGAAAATTATATATTATATGTGTATAATATATATGTATATCTATAAAATGCATGTTATCATGAATACTTATGCCTGTTTTCTGCCAAGAATTTTATACTTTTGGTTCTTGCATTTAAGTGTTTGATTTATTTTTCATAGGGTGTGAGGTAGGGATCCAACTTCATTCTTCTGCAAATGAATGTACAACATACTGAGTTGCATTAGCACCAGAGACTTATTTTAATTTATATGAAAGCAACAAAATCAGCTGTTCTACTTTATTATTTTAAGTTATTGAATGAATACAGCTAAGAATAAGTACTTACAAGGGGTCTTCAAAAAGAAAATAAAATGCATATTATGAAAAAAGGTTGCATGAATTTTAAATTTGTTTTGCTTTAAAGTAAACTGTCTTTGAGTTCTATTTGCTCCTAAACTTTTTGAAGTACCCATTTACAACTTGGGAAGTTTAAACCTTCTTTAACTTCTAGCATCATGTGGTACTTCGATGTCTGCCACATATCATATGCAGGGAGTATTCTACTTGGTGACATCTGTTAGTAGTAAGTATTGCTGTTTTATTTGATTCAGTTTATAGCTATATCATATGAATTTTAACAGCTATTGAGATGTTGATTTCTGCGTATGTCCCACAATAGGGTGCCTGATGTTCAATTCTTGATTCCAGCTCCCAATTTTAGCTCCTTGCCAGGGCACATCCAAATAAGTAGTTTGGTCCTTGACACCTGTGTGGTAGAACTGAATTGAATTCTGATTTCTAATTTTCAGCTTTGGCCAGCAAGGACAAGGCCACTGTGGACATCCTGGGAATGAACCAACAAATGGGAGCACTCTCTGTCTCCAAAATGCATATCTTATGCACACATACACATACACCATTTACTACATGTTAATTATTGACAACACGCATGAGAGAGCGAGACTTATGTGGTTGTTTAAGTTACTAACAGCAAATCTTTGAGCATAAGTGTTAGGAATTTCAACACTTAATACCACTTACATTCAGTATGTGGTTATTCTTGACCTATTCTGGGTTTTTTTCAACTTTAGGCAGGTGGGTGGGGCTTTTGTGGTTCCTTCCTCTCCCGAAGATCAGTGTTTGGATACAGAGTGACCCCTAGGCGTGGCAGCATTTGGGAGGGAGGCAAGTGCCCATGGAGGGCACCCAGAGAGCTGTCAATCCCTGTGGCAGCTGGGGGATGTGTTATCTTGATCTGGTGATAAGGGCATTTAGGGCCCACCACAGGATTCCCCAACCTCCTGCAGGGTACAGTCTCTCTCCCTCTTGACTACATGTGGGAATCACCATTGGGCTTTTACAGAATAAGGAGAGTTTGACTTCTCCCTCTAGGACCACAGGATGCTAATTTCCTGGAGCTGGGAGATATTATATATATATATATATATAATATACTACATATATACATATATATATATAATATACTACATATATACATATAATATATATATACTACATATATATATATTTTTTTAATATAAAAACACAGGGCCCAGCACGTTGGCTCAATTGGCTGGTCTTCCACCTCCAAGTGCCAAGATCCCACATGGGCATTGGTTCATGTCCCAGATATTCTGCTTCCCATGCAGCTCCCTGCTTGTGACCGGGGAAAGCAGTAGAAGACAGCCAAATGCCTTGAGACCCTGTGCCTGCATGGGAGACCTGGAAGAGGCTACTGGCTCCTGGTTTAATATTGGCTCATGTCTGGCCATTACAGCATCTGGAGAATAAACTAGTGGATGTAGGACTTTCTTCTCTCTGTAAGTCTGCCTTTCTAAAAAAAAAAAAAAAAAGAAGTGAAAAAAAAAACAATAGCCTGTTAGGATAAAAGGATATTCTATGATGGACAATTCACAGTTCTTCTACAGAAAGATGGCCTGAGTACATCTTAGGCTTACAGGTTTCCAAGGTACATTATTAAAAACTGGCAATTTCAGGCAACTTGTAGAAAATGGGAAATGAGTTCATCGAATTTACAATTAATTGTTGTATCCTTGGCTTTAATTTCTCAATAACCTCATGCGCTTTGACAACCACACTTCAAAATACTGTGGGTATCTCTCATTCCCATTTGCAGTGTTTTTTATGTACTGTGAAAAACAGGATTTATCTCTTTCTCCTTCCTTGAGCTCCACACTACCACTCATCTCCTATGCTAATTGTAATTTAAAATATACTTCCGCTCAGTAACTTTAGACCTTGAGCTTGTGTTCTTAGGCAAAATCAGGGGAGAATCAAAACATTCATCATGAAGTCTGACCACCGTCCATTCTGTAGGAAACGTGAGGTGCCATCTTGTGAGACTGTGCCTTCTCCCTTTCTATACAGCTCTGCTCTGTGCTCTTCTGAGACTCCAGATCTTGCTTTCAAAGTCACATTCTTAACAGCAAAGATGTTTTTGGCTGTTGGAAGAAGAATAGAATATAGCTCAAGGCAGATGGCAAGAAATGGCAGTCAGCCATTGGCCATGCCTGCCCAAAGAACACAGGCCTCCTTCCAGGCCCTTCCCACCCCAGGGAGAGCTGTCTTGAAATTGCCAGCTCCATCAACTGGGCTGAATATTTTTCTGCCAGCACTGGAATCGAGCCTTACACCAGTTCCTTTAGCAATAGCTCTGCTTGCCTCACTTCCTTCTGGTTGCTTCTTGGCAGGAACATGCCTTTGCACAGTCTCCATGTTCTGATCTGGTGTTCAACCCTTGCTGAACTAAGAACATTTGCGTAATCACCAAGAAGAGCAGGGTGTCTGCACTGATCAGTAACCCTTTCTCCTAACCCATAGGAGGACATATGGGCACCTGGCTAAGAGCAGGTGCAGCCTGCCTAGAGGAGCCCTGCCAAACACCTGTGCCTGACTCCTGCTTGGAATCAGTTTGGATTCCTTATCCCTGATCTGGCAACACACCCACCAAAAATATTCACAATAATAAAAGGAACCCAGAAACATCATATGAATTTAAGGGCTTGTTTCTTAATTTATTACTTATATTGGAAAAGCAGATTTATACAGAGAGACGGAAAGGTCTTCCATATGCTGGTTCATTCCCCAAATGGCCACAGTGGCCAGAACTGAGCTAATCAGGAGCCAGGAACCTCTTCTAGGTCTTCCATGTGGGTGCACAGTCCCAAGGCCTTGGGCCATCCTTGACTGCTTTCCCAGGCCACAAGTAGGGAGCTGGATGGAAAATGGGGCAGCTGAGACATGAACCAGCGCCCATAGGGATCACAGTGCTCACAAGGGGATAATTAGCCAGTTGAGCCATTATATCTGGCCCGTGAATTTAGTTTTGTTGTAGTTTCATTTCATTTTGCATACCTTGCAAGAATATTGGTTTATTCTTACAAGATATATGATCTTTCTAATTGATAACACCGGTTGTTGATTAACTGGAAAAGATAGCCAAATAGTTTT